ATCCCCAGTGTTGGAGGTGGGACATGGCGGGAGGTATTTGGTTCATGGGGGTGGATTCCTCCTGGCTATATGCTGTCCTCACTGTAGTGAGTTCTCACAAGATCTAGTTGTTTCAAGTGTGTGGCACCTCCCCTACTCTCTCTTGCCCCTGCTTTCACCATGTGACATGCCTGCTCCTACTTCACCTTCTGCCATGAATAAAAGCTCCCTGAGGCCTACCCAGGTGCAGAGCAGATGCCTGTGCCATGCTTGCATAGCCTAAGAATCATGAGCCAATTAAATCTGTTTTCTTCATTAATTACCCAGCCTCAGGTGTTTCCTTATAGCAATTCAAGACTGGCCTATTACACCTCCTTTACCCTTCAGTCCCTAGCAACCACTGATTTACTTTTCATCTCTATCAATCTGACTATTCTGGAAATTTGATATCAATAGAATTATACTGCATGATTTTTGTAACTAGCTCCTTTCACTTAGCATAATGTTTTCAAGGTTTATCCATGTTATAGCATGTATCAGTACTTCATTCTTTTTTATTGCCAAATAATATTCCACTCTGTGAATTGCCAGATTTTGTTTACCCATCTGTTAATCCATAGACATCTGGATTGTTTCTACATTTTCATTATTATAAAAAATGTCACTATGAACATTCATGTGCACATTTTTGTGTGCATATATGTTTTCATTTCTCTGGGGTATGTACCTAGGAGTAGAATTGCTGTGTTATATGGTAATGTCATGTTTAATATTTTGGAGAACTGCCAAACTGTTTTCCAAAGCGACTATACCATTTTACATACCCACTAGCAATGTATGAGGTTTCTATTTCACTACATAGTTGTCAACACTTGTTATTATCTTTTTCATTATAGCCATCTTAGTGGATGTGAAGTTTTATCTGATTGTTGTTTTGCTTTTTACTTCCTTGATAAATAATGATTTTTAATACTTTTGCATGTGCTTATTGGTTATTTGTACATCTTCTCTGGAGAAATATCTTTAGATCTTTGTCCATTTTTCAATTGAATTGTTTGCCATTTTATTGTTGAATTGCAAGAATTCATATACATTCTAGATGCAAGTCCAGATGTATATACCAGATATATAATTCAAAAATATTTTCACCTATCCTACGGATTATCTTGCACTTTCTTGATGGTAACTTTTGAAGCACAAAAAATATTTTACTTCTTAATGAAGTTCAAGGTATATACTTTTTTTCTTTTGTAATTGTGCTTTTGGTATTCTATCTAAGAAACCACTGCCTAACCTACAGTTGCAAAGATTTGCTCCTGTTTTCCTCTAAGGGGTTTATTGTCTTATGTCTTAAATTTAGGCCTGTGCTCCATTTTAACTGCTGCATAGGGGTCCAACTTCAGTTTTTGCATATCAATATCCAGTTGCACTAGCACCATTTATTGAAAAGACCATTCTTTCATTGAATTGTCTTAACATCTTTGTAAAAAATAAATTGGCCACAAATTTAGGGATTTATTTCTGTATTCTTGATTTAATTTCATTGACCTACATATCTATTCAATTCCCGTACCACACTGTCTTGATTACTGCAGTTTTGTATTAAGTTATTGAATTGAGAAACCTGAGTCTTCCAATTTTGTTACTCTTTCTCAAGATTGTTGTGCCTATACCGGATCCTTTTTATTTCCACAAATTTTAGGATCAGCTTGTCAATTTCTAAAAAGACAGGCTTCTGGGATTTTGATAGAGATTGCATTATATCTGTAGATTAATTTGGGGAGTATTGTCACCTCAACAACATTACATCTTCTGATCCATGAACATATATATACCATATACTCACATCTTCTTTAACTTCTTTGTTAAACTTACCCTTAAGTATTTTATCCTTTTTGATGCTATTATAAATTGAGTTATTTTCTTAATTTCATTTCTGGATTGTTCATTGCAAGCCTATAGAAATACAATTGATTTTTATTTATTGATCCATCCTGCAATCTTGCTGAAAATGTTATTTCTAATAAATTTTTGGTAGATTCTGTAAGATTTTCTATATATGAAGGCACATCATCTGCAAAAAGGGAGAGCTTACTTCTTCCTCCCTAATTTACATGACTTTTATTATTTTCCTTGCCTAATTGTCTTGGTTAGAACCTCAACATGATGTTGAATAGACATGGAAAAAGTAGACATCCTTGTTTTGTTCCTAATTTTAGGTAGAAAGCATTCAATCTTTCAACATTACATATGATGTTAACTTTGGGTTTTTCATAGATGACTTTCATCAGGTAAAGAAAGTTTTCTTATAGTCCTAGTTTGTCAAGTGTTTTTACCATGAAAAGGTACTTGATTTTGTCTAATGCTTTTTTCTGCACCTATGGGGATGATCATGTTTTTAAATATATTCTATTAACACAGTGTAGTACATTGTTTTTTGCTATGTTTAACCAAACTGGATTAAGTTTACTAGTATTTGGTTAAAGATTTTTACATCTGTATTCATAAGTGATGTTGCTCAATGGTTTTCTTCTAAGCATTTTCTGCCTCATTTTGGTATTGAGTAATACTGGCTGCATGGGATAAGCTGGGAAGTGTTCCTTCCTCTTCCATGTTTTGGAAGAGTTTGTGGAGGACCAATATTAACTCTTCTTTAAATGTTTGGTAGAATTTGCTATTAAAGCTGTTTAGGCCTGGGTTTTTCACTGTGAGAAGTTTTAAAATTATTAACCTAATATCCTACTATTGGTTTATTAAGATTTTCTATTTATTCTTTATTCAATTTCGGTAATTTGTTTCCTTCTAGGACTTCATCAATTTAATGTAGGTTTTATATATATATATATATATATATATATATATTTTTTTTTTTTTGTATACTGTTGTTCACAGTATTCTCTTAGATTCCTTTTTATTTTTGTAAGGTCAGACCTACTGCCTGATTCCAAGACCTACTATAAAGCTATAGTTATAACAATGTCTTAGAAAAGACACAGGAAGGAATAATCATAAAACAAGAAAAAGATAAATTAGACGTAAGCAGTATTAAAATTTTCTGTTCCCCCAATAACACTATTAAGAAAATAAAAAGGCAAAATCCACGCTGACCCAAAATATTTAAAATAAGTATATCTAAAAAAGAACTTGTTTTTATTTTAAATCAACTCTTGTAAGTCAATGATAAAAAGACAAGCAACTCAATTTAGAAAAACATGCAAGGGATTTAAACAGATCTTCACAGAGAATATATACAATGGCCAATGTGCACATGAAAAAGTGCTCAATGTCATTAGCTACCAGATAAGTGTAAATTTAAACCACAATGGGATAATATTTCATACCTGCTAGTGTGAATATGGTTAATAAAGAACTGAAACAAATGTTGGTCAGGAGGAAGAACAACTGAAACTCTCACATACTGCTTAAGGACATGTAAAACCGTGGTACCACTTTGAAAAACTGGCAATTTCTTACAAAGTTAAAAATCCATTTACCCAATTGTCCAGCAAGTCCTCTCGAGTAAGTCCTTTTCATAGTAACTACAAGCCTGGAAACAATTCAAATGTCCATCAGCACAACAGATAAACTAACTATAGTTTAGTCATTTCATGTCACTATTCAGCAATAAAAATTAACAAACCGTCTATGACATTGTGGTACATCAAGACCTTCTGCTGAATGAAATAAACTGGACATAAAAGAACACATGTGGTATGACTCCATTTACATCAAGTTCAAAAACAGGCAAAACTAAGCTATGGGAATAGAAATCAGAAAGCTGTCTCTTCTGTGGTGGAGAGGTGGGGGTCAACTGCCAAGCGGTCCGAGGAAACTTTTGGGGATGATGGAAATGTTGTATGTTTGGTGTTAGTGTTCGTTACACAAGAAGAGCATATGTGCGTCAAAACTCACTCCAACTAAAAACTAAAATCCATGTATTTCACTGTAGGCAAAATGAACCTTAAAAAAAAATTCAGAAACATTTTAGGTAAGAGATGTTGGATGCAAGTGCTTTAAATATTCTTTTAGGTGGCATGGATAGATCTTACTGCTGTTACCTGCAGCTCAGCCTGCAGGGTTCAGTGTCCTTGCACCTTGGAACACTGGCATTCCACTTGTCAGCCTCGCAAAAAGAACACAGGTGCACCTACCCAACCCCTCCCAGCCATGCCAGCAGGGGCTGGGCAACCCTGTCAGCAGCACACTAGATGTGCAAGAGCTCTCTAATTACCATCCTTTTATAAATGCTGGCACTAGCTTCCCCATCGGCATGTTAAATTTCAAACACAAGCTAATTCTAAATCATTCAGAAATGAATGGAGTTAACACTGAGAAGAAAAATTGCTTATGGAGGGAGGAAAGAACACAGAATAGAGCCCAAAGTTTGGAGTTCCACTCCCAGTCCACTACTTCCAGGCTCTGTGATCTGAGATAAATCCTAAGTTTCTTTTCTTTATAATGTAGGGATGATAACATGGCACACAACTGCTGGACAACAGCGTAGCACTTGGGGAGGAATAGCTGAGAGGCAGAAATGAAAGCCTATGGTAGAATGTGAATTTCCAGGTGAAAGTACACATTTTATTCAAAGCCCTCACTCCCCACCTCCACCCGCCAAATATACACACACACCTGGACCTATTTTTGAAAACTTTACTGTAAATTAGAACCTTTATCAGAAGGTAAAGAACTTTTAACTGTTTAAGTGTGCTACTTTTAAAATTCTAGAGAAATGTTGGCTCCTGACTTCTCAAATTCTCTATGGCCACTGTTCATCTGAATACAGAGAAAATCAAGATTTGGACGTTGGCATCCTTTAAAATTGGATGTCCAGATTAAAAGCATCTACAGAGGTTTAAGTATCCAAGGATGCTTTTAACCTGGGCATCTGATTTTAACAAGAGACTCTTTCCTGATCACAGTTAGAAAATGACATCCTGTGCCTGCTTCTCCTCTGAATTCTTACTCATGACAGGGCGTCACACTTACCTTGAGAGAGCAAACCCTGAGAGCCATCTCACCTACTGGTGAAGGTCAGGGCCAAGGCTGTGGCCAGGTGGGGCATCAGCCGCAGGGTCTGCGTTTGGTGCTCAATGATCTTCACCTCTTCCTTGGCTTTGGGTCCAAATTGCCTCCAGCTAGAGGGAATCAACAGACACTACTGTTACCCAAATCCAGGAGGCAACTTTATTTCCAGAGCTAAAAGTGCTGGCTAGTCATTCGCCTTCCAAAGCCTCCAAAATGCAGAAATCTGAATTTCCTAAAATGTGGTTAGGACAAGATATCCTAAGTTTCTGAAGAAAGCCCAACAGGAAGCTTTTCAGCTCTCCTAGAAGTTAACCTTCCCAGCGTGGAACATTTTTAAAGCAGCACATCTATCTAACACCTGAGTAATTTTTACTCCTTAACATTTACATGACATTTTATAGTTCCAAGTGCCCCATGATCATTAATTATTCAGCTTTACTAAGTTTGTGACATAATTAATAAGACAGGAAAGATACCCTAGAACATATTTCAAAAGGACATTCTCAACAAGGAGGGTGACATTAACCCTAGTGACCCTGTCAGATTCACAGGCAGGTCATTACTTTTAGCCCACCTAAACCTCCTTGCGATCCTACGTGGAAAAGGTGTTCTCCACATCCCACCTTAAATCCCTGTGCCCTGCAGACAGCATCTGCATTGCACTCTGAGGCTGCTCTGTCATGTGAACCAAGGCTTTACTTGGAGCAATTTATATAGTGGTGTGGGATTGTCCCCACAGGCAATGCCCAGGGACAAATCTCCCAGAATCTCATAGTTGTAGACTGCAAAGAGCCCAGGCTTTACGTAGAGGTCACCCTCTGCCCCATGCAGCCTGATGCTCTACATCTTACATTTGGCAGCATCCTGTCTTTGAACAGCTCTTAGTTGAACGTTGGCTTCTGAAAGAACAGCATTTCACTCACACACACATGCATACACACTGCTATGTTATCAAACACAGTGGGCAAACCTTTGTTTCACATGCCAGTGGGCTGAGGACATCCATCAACCACTCAAAGAGAAGAGAAGGAACAACTGTTTAAAAAATCTTATATATGATAAAGACTTTGTTAAACATACTTTTATACTTAAATATTGTGTTTATTTGTAATTAAAACAAGGGTACCATAATCTTTTTAGTGTTTAAGCCATCTGGAATTCATATCCTAGAGCCATCATGGGGGTGGTGAGGACAAATGACAAGCACACACAAGGAAGGCCGCACTATGAGCACAGCCTGGTTTTCTAAGAGCACAGACTTCCCCTAGGCACAGCTTAACCACCCCATGGATGACTGTTTCAAAGGCACCACCCCACTCTGCCCTTCTTCCATGCCTGCCCCTCCAGCCTAGTTCATACCCGACCACAGCAGCCTCATGGCTCCAGATGAAAGGGCTATCAGTCTACAGGGAAATATCTCAGTTTTTGCTGGATCATGGTGAAACCAACCAAAAAAATCACAAAGCTGGTAATGGTGTCATCATGATGTTGGGTCATTGATAAGGGCTGAATTGTGTCCCCCCAGAATTCACACACTGAAGCTCTAACCACCAATGTGACTATTTGGAGACCGGGCTCTTAGGAAGCAATTAAGTTTGAATTAGGTCATATAGGTCCTAATCTGACAGGATTAGTGGCCATATAAAAAGAGAAGAGAAAGTTCCCTCCTTCCCCACACCCATGCACTGAGAAAGACCGTATGAAGACACAGCAAGATGGCGGCCAGCAGCCGTCTGCCAGCCAGGAAGAACACCCTCACCAGACCTGTCAGTGTCTTGATTTTGGGCTTGCAGTCTCCAGAACTATGAGAAATAAACTTCTATTATTTAAGCCACCCAGTCTATGGTATGGGTGTAATCCTCTATGGGCAGATCCTCTCCTGATCTGCCAGCTTCACCATACTGAGTAATAATACAACCTACATTTTAAAACAGCACCTTTCATTGGACTCAGCCTGCTGAGGGAAGGCCCGCTCAGTCTTCTGCTGCCCCAGCCTGCCCTGACATATGCGCCCAGGAAAGACAGAGGCGGGAGGGCAGATGAATGTCCTGCCAGGTCCCAGCAGCTCCACACCAACCCCTCCACTCACCCTCTCCCGCTTCTCCTTGGAACGTTTGCTTGTCATTAGATGCTCTGAACAAAACTCAATTCTCAGACACTGGAGTGCTGGCTGGGAGCCGGGGCAGTTAGGACAGGGATGAGAGGAATGAAAGGAAGGAGCCTCCCCTGTGCCCAACAGCCCACTCCACCACAGGCTTTTCTGCCAGGGGCCAGAGGTAAACAGGTGGATGGGCAGAAGGTGGGTACCACTCAACTCTTTCTTTCCCTACCTCTGGCCCAAGACCCTGACAATCCCCAAGCACTGAGCAGGGAGTTTCTTCTGGCTTCTCACTCATCAGATGTGCTCTCTGGCTTCTCCAAGGAGGAATGACACTGAGGGCTACTGAGGTTCCTCCCACCCAAAGATGCAGCAAGAGGTCAGCCCTATGACTGCCACCATCAGCCCCCATGTGGGCAGCCTGCAGCAGCAGAGGCAACAGAGACCAAAGGGCTCAAGACTTGGGGTTCCCAGAAGGCCTGCCCCCTGAGAGACCCTGCCCTGGCATGCTGCAGTCTCCCTCTTATTTATGCTCTGAGGCCCCATCGGCCTTACCAAGGGCCATGACAGTCCAGGCCTGGACTCTGGTTGCCAGCATCCTGGCACAGTGCCCTGAACGCAGCTCACAGGACTGTAATGCCTGCAGCTGGCCAGCAGTTACTGCCTGCCAGACGTTTTTATTGTTCTAGTTTATGATCTATATGGACACAATATTCTTCCCATCCTTTTCCTCCACTGGGTTACTATTTTTCTTTAAAAACACATACAAAGGCTATATTTTTCTCTGTAAATATAGTTTTTATTTCAGTACTTCCTCCCCCAAAAAAACCAAGTCACTTAGCTCAATTTTTTTGTGATCTTTAAAATAAAAATGTGGTGCGTGTTTGTACAATGATATACATGTGAGAATCAAGCCGGGCTCAGAGAGTGCTGTGAATGATGCCATTTAAAATTATAGATGTGAAAAGTTATTTCTAGATTCCAGCAACTCCTAAGGAAGAGAGGAAACATTTATTTTGAGTTGTTTTATTTCATTCCCACTCAATTTTGAACACGGCTGCTTAAGGCAACATTCGTGGGATATGACATGGCTATTAATCACCAAGGCAGCTACTGCAGGCGCAGCCTCTGGGGGAGCTGCGCTGCTCACCTTCTCCCCTCTCCCTCTGGTCTCTTCTCCCAACGGAGGCCAGTGACCTACTAAAAAGATAATTACTTCCCATGTTTCCTGCTCTGCAGTACCATTGCATCTAGTCAACTTAGAAGGAGAGGAGCTTTAAGGCTAAGCCTTGCCCTGGACTCTGAGAATTCTTGGGGTGCAAGCTGGTTTGCAGGCATCCCTGCAACCAGAAGAAGAGGGAACGAAACCTTCCTCCACTGTCAAGGTGCTGACCTTTGTAGACAAAAGCTCAGTTCCTTCCTGGGCTCAGGCCACCTTCCTTTGTGTCCACCTTCCTTCATTAATAACCAGACCAAAGGCAGAATTCAAGGGAGCTTGTCAGTGCCTGGCAGCTGGACCACTGCACCCCATTCACAGTGGCCTCCACAGAAACCTTCCAACCTCTCATAGCGTCCACAGCCCATCTGTCCTGTTTCTTTCCCTTCTCTGGGGCACTCCTGGATATACAAACTCAGAGGGAAAATATTTTACAAAGCAGGATATTTGTAATGCCACCAATTGAACTCGGAATATTTGGTTCAGCCAGCCAGCCACGATGTAAACATCTGGCTTCTTCTTATCAATAAAAATGTATGGGAGTCAGACACTCTGACCCTCAGCCCCAAGCCTCACCACCTCCAATCCCAGGTGATCCCACCCTCCACCTTGGGATGGCGGAAGGGACCAGGCTGCACACCACTCCGGCTGGTTTTTTGTTTTGGTTTGGTTTTTTTGTTCTTTGTTTTTGAGACAGAGTCTCACTCTGCGTTCCAGGCTGGAGTGAAGTTGTGCGATCTTGGCTCACTGCAACCTCTTTCTCGTAGGTTCAAGTGATTCTCCTGCCTCAGCCTCTTGAGTAGTTGGGACTACAGGTCTGCACCACCATGTCCGACTAATTTTTGTATTTTTAGTAGAGACGAGGGTTTCACCATGTTGCCCAGGCTGGTCTCAAACTCCTGGCTTCAGGTGATCCACCCACCGCAACCTCCCAAAGTGGTGGGATTACAGGCGTAGCCACCGTGGTGGCTCTGCTGGGTATTTTTTGTTTTGTTTTTAAGTTGTACATATAACAGTTTGCCCTTTGGGCCGGATCAATCCTACACTGAAACATTGAAGCATCAGTTTAACATGTTACATCTGCGGTGTTTTTGTTGTCATTCTTCCCATGGGCAGCTTTCTTTCTTTTTCTTTTCTTTTTTTTTTTTTTTTTTTTTTTTTTTTTTTTTTTTTTTTTTTTTTTTTTTTTTTTTNTTTGAGACAGAGTTGTACTCTGTCACCCACGCTAGAGTGCAGTGGTGCAATCTCGACTCATGGCAACCTCTGCCTATTGGGTTCAAGCAATTCTCCTGCTTCAGCCTCCCAAGTAGCTGGGATTACAGGTGCATTCCACCACGCCCAGCTAATTTTTTATATTTTTAGTAGAGATGGGGTTTTGTCATATTGACTAGGCTGGTCTCAAACTCCTGGCTTCAAGTGATCTGCACACCTCGGCTTCCTAAAGTGCTGGGATTACAGGTGTGAGCCACCACACCCAGCCCAAAGGGCAACTTTCAATCCATCTATAAAGGAGATGGAAGAAACACGTGTGTGTGTGTAAGTGAATGAATGTGTGTGTGTGTGGTATAGAGAGTGTATGTGTATGTGTGCTTCTTTGATAGTAGACTGTGATTAAATACACAAAATGGTCTCAAGAAAGAGTTCTCAAAGTGCCTTTCAGAGTCTTAAGAAATCACAACAAATAACTTTGGCACCTTCTAGTCACCTTTTTTCCTCCCAACTCTCAACAGTCTATCAATCCAACCACTCTAGAATAGAATAGATAATTCTCAATTGTTGTGATGAGTTCAATGACA